TCCTGGGATACTCCAGGCAGGAGCACAGAGAAAATAGGACTCTTGTCTAGAGTAGTCTGCAATAAGTGGGAAGGAATATTGTGGGACTGTGCTGAGAAAATCAATTGAAAAGAAATGCCAATGCTTCCTGTCTACAGTAGCACTGAGATTGCTCAAAATGAATCAGTGTAGGTCTAAGCATTTACAAGTCTTGTTTGAAGTTGATGCTGCAAAAGTTTGGGCACCCAAAATTAGTGGCATCTTTGGAAAATGTTAGCTTGTGTGTGTTAGACACAGGAGAAGGACCTGAAGAAATATTTTTTGATTTAATATATCTCGGGAAAATGGGCAAGAACATTCTACTTATGAGGATTAATTTGGTAAGAATTTCAAAATCCTCAGATAGAAGACATTATAGAAACACCAATAACCTTTCCCACCCCCACACTCTTTTCGTGTTGTATCTTGTGTACATTATTCTTGTACTTTATTGTAAAATAAATGTTAATACTACAATGATGATACAGTGACTGAGCCTAATATTTTGAATCTTCCTATGAAAAATCTATCACCTTAATCATCACAGGATCTGACATTTTGTAAAAATTAAATAATGTCACATCATCCCTGCGAGATAGGAAATTATTATTGTTCCCATTTTATGGATGGAGAATGGAAGCACAGAGAGATTGAGTGACTTCCCCCTACATCACACAGGAAGTCTGTGGCAGAATCCAAAAATGAATCAAGATCTCAGTGTCTTAATCACAAGAACATGCTTCCTTAGCCCTTTTTGTCTAGCTAAGAGCTAGGAGACATGGCAAAGCTGTGCAGAACACATCTGCCAGTTTCATAAAGCTGTATCCAGAAATGCAATTTTCAAGTGTCTGGGGAAGTCTTGCTGAGCCACTGTGATCAGTGCACATGAGGACACTGAGTTGCAGATGGAATGCAAGAGAATTTCTTGTGATATATGGGTTTAGATATTTTATTTTCTCCTTCTGGGAAGAAATACAAGAAAATTTTGATATATTAATCTGCAGGATTTGTCTTTTTCATTGTTTTGATTTCTCTATTGACCACAAGAGATGTGGCATAAGGTAATATTTTTAGCAGCCTTCAACATGGGCAGGAGCCAATTAGTTAGCAGCCCTTTTGTGACTGCTTCACAGATTCAGGTAAGAAAGAATAACAGACAATGAAACACAACTAAGCGAATGATAATGTAGTTAAAGGTTTCAGACTAGCAGCCGTGTTAGTCTGTATCCGCAAAAATAACAGGAGTACTTGTGGCACCTTAGAGACTAACAAATTTATTAGAGCATAAGCTTTCGTGGGCTACAACCCACTTCTTCGGATGCATATAGAGTGAAATATATTGAGGAGATATATATACACACATACAGAGAGCATGAACAGGTGGGAGTTGTCTTACCAACTCTGAGAGGCCAATTAAGTAAGAGAAAAAAACTTTTGAAGTGATAATCAAGATAGCCCAGTACAGACAGTTTGATAAAAAGCAAGTGTGAGAATACTTACAAGGGGAGATAGATTCAATGTTTGTAATGGCTCAGCCATTCCCAATCCCTATTTAGCCCTGAGTTGATTGTGTCTAGTTTGCATATCAATTCCAGCTCAGCAGTCTCTCCTTGGAGTCTGTTTTTGAAGTTTTTCTGTTTTAAGATAGCCACCCGCAGGTCTGTCAAAGAATGGCCAGACAGGTTAAAGTGTTCTCCCACTGGTTTTTGAGTATTATGATTCCTGATGTCAGATTTGTGTCCATTAATTCTTTTGCGTAGAGACTGTCCGGTTTGGCCAATGTACGTGGCAGAGGGGCATTGCTGGCACATGATGGCATATATCACATTGGTAGATGTGCAGGTGAACGAGCCCCTGATGGTATGGCTGATGTGATTAGGCCCTATGATGGTGTCACTTGAATAGATATGTGGACAGAGTTGGCATCGGGCTTTGTTACAAGGATAGGTTCCTGGGTCAGTGTTTTTGTTCAGTGATGTGTGGTTGCTGGTGAGTATTTGCTTTAGGTTGGGGGGTTGTCTGTAAGCGAGGACAGGTCTGTCTCCCAAGATCTGTGAGAGTAAAGGATCATCTTTCAGGATAGGTTGTAGATCTCTGATGATGCGCTGGAGAGGTTTTAGTTGGGGGCTGAAGGTGACAGCTAGTGGTGTTCTGTTATTTTCTTTGTTGGCCCTGTCTTGTAGGAGGTGACTTCTGGGTACTCGTCTGGCTCTGTCAATCTGTTTTTTCACTTCAGCAGGTGGGTATTGTAGTTTTAAGAATGCTTGATAGAGATCTTGTAGGTGCTTGTCTCTATCTGAGGGATTGGAGCAAATACGGTTATATCTTAGAGCTGTGGACTCTACGCCACTGTGACGGGTTGGATCACAGAAACCCCCTTGGGAGCTGCCACCCGATGTGCCAAGACTACCCCTGCTTCTGTTTTCCCTGCCAGCTCAGGACTCCAGCACCCCGTCTTGCTGAATTAGACACTCCAGTCCACTTCAACACAGACCCAGGGTCTGAATTACTTGTCCCAAAGCTGCGAGTTTACCCAAAAACAGCTCACAGGAGTGTGCTTGTCTTTAGCACTCAGATGCCCAACTCCCAATGGGGTCTAAACCCAGATAAATCCGTTTTACCCTGCATAAAGCTTATGCAGGGCAAACTCATAAATTGTTCGCCCTCTATAACACTGATAGAGAGATATGCACAGCTGTTTGCTCCCCCAGGTATTAATACATACTCTGAGTAAATTACTAAATAAAAAGTGATTTTATTAAATACAGACAGTAGGATTTAAGTGGTTCCAAGTAGTAACAGACAGAACAAAGTAAGTCACAAGCAAAATAAAATAAAATGCGCAAATCTATGCCTAATCAAACTAAATACAGATAAGTTCCTCACCAGTTCCAGAATGCTCCCTTTTACAGGCTAATCTCCCTTTAGCCTGGGTCCAGCAATCACTCACCCCCCTGTAGTTACTGTCTTTTGTTTCAGTTTCCTTCAATGTAGTTAAAGTGACTTATTTATTTTCTGGTCCTTGTGGGCTGGTTTACATTGACTTCACTAGAATTTGTTTGCATGAAGGTTGCTTTAACCCACTAGGTTCTGTTACACCTCTCAGGCTTCACCACTAGCATTACACAAGCTTCTACATTTAATTTCCTTTTCAACTTTGATTTTAAATAGCTGTGGGATTTGAGCAATAACTACGGAGAGATGGGGTGTTTATAGCTGGCTAAAAGAACTTGATGGACCAAACACAGCTGGCCATTCATTCCACTGAAGTGCCCAGCAGAGAGGTTGATATTGTGTCAAAAAGAAAAGGAAAATCAAAATAACAAAACAAAGAGCATATAGCAATAAATGTGTTTAATGGAGTATTTTCACTGAGAAGGGTGATCTACTGAGTTGGAGAAGGGGGGAGAGAGAAATCAGGAGTTCTGGGTTCTTGTTCCCAGCTCTGCTGCCAACTTGCTGTGTGTTCTTCATTATGTCATTTAGGCCCAGATTTTCAAGCCTCCACTAATATTCCTTATCCTTGAGAGTTCCAGGGCTTGACATAGAAAAGTGCTGAATATCTGCAGCTTCCAAAGTTTCTTCAGCAGGAGCTATGGATAATGATCCACACCACTGAAAGTCAAGTCTGAGGTGTTGGAAGTTGGGCACTTAGAAGCTGAGGCAGTCAAAATTACTATGCACTTTTGAAAATGTTGACAAATTCTATGCCTCAAATTTTCCCATTTTAAAAATGGATGTAACAATGGATATATTATCTTATAGAGGAGAGGTTTTATGAGGCTGGCTTATTTTTTAATATAAGATTTTTGAGATCATCATAGTTATATTATTATTAATAAACTGATATAGACAGAGCATTTTAAGGGAATTAATGCTTTGTAAAACAGCCAATCAGGTTGCATAAATCATCTCCATAACTTCCATTCAGAATTAGAAAACAAATAAAGCCACGGTAACTCGGAGCACTTCTCTGTAAAATGACACGTACAGAACTAAAACTGGAAATACATGAGGCACCCCCACGGGTTTTGCTGAGATGATGGAACAGAGAGAGGATTTACAGATCTGTCTTTGGGTGTGGGGGAAGGAAAGCTGTCTCACCGAAAATGAAATTTAAATCAGTCCTCGCCCTCTGGGGTTGGGGGAGGATTTTGCTGTGTGTTTCAATGAGACATTTACAATCAATCGCCCTCAGCCTGGTTTGAAGTGTCCCTCATTCACGCGGTCTAGGCAGCAGCCAGATATTTAACTAGCTGCTTTCCGGATTGTGGTCACTGTAATTTGATTTCACCCTCAGATGGAAACAAGGGAGAAGGAGGGCTGACTCTGGGTAGTCAGCCTCCCCTCAACCCTGAGAAGGGTAAGATCCCCCTACTCTCCAACCTCCGGAAAGGGGTGAGCGGGCCAATTCCTCCCCACGCCTTACATAAGGCGAGAACCCTCTCCCCCTGCGAGTTTATACTCTCCTCTGCCCCGCCTATGCAGGGAGCTCCCTCTCTCTGCTCCCCTCCCCTGTGCAGGGAGCTCCCCCTATCTGCCCCGTGCTTGCAAGGAGCTCCCGCGCTCTACCTTCTCTCCTGTGCGATAGGCTCCCCCACTGCCCCCCTCCCCTGTGCAGGGAGTTCCCCCTTGTGCCCCGCTACCCCGCTCAATGAGCTGCTCCTCCCTCCCCCCACTCCACTCCTACTGCCGCCCCCAGGCACGGGGATGGCCGGGGGGTTTTAAGGCGGGGGAGGGGCAGAGCGCACTGCACCCGCCCCCTCCCCGAAGAGAAGCTCGTAGCAAAGTCACCGACAAGCCCGCCGGGCCCCATCAAACGCCTCGGCCCGGCCCACACACGTCATGGAAACAAGCACGTCATCACCCAACAGCCAATGGGAGCGGGGGAAGGCGGGGAGAGCGCCTGGCTCCGCCCACTCCCCCTTTTCCCGGCGGAGGCTCCTCCCTCTCCTCCCCCATTGAAGGCGCCGCACGTCTGGAGCCCCTTCACCCGAACAAGACCCCTGTCATGTGACCGCCGGGACGCGGGGTAGGAAGCGGCAGTTGCAGCGTGGGGAGGGGGTGGCTCGGTGAGCAGCGAACGAGTGAGTGAGTGACGGGGGGAGACGGGCGGGGGCCGGGCCGCTCTGCCCTGCAGCCCGGCCAGGAGGTGGTGGCGGTGGGAGCGGGAGCGGTTACTCTGCAGGGCTGGGGCTCCGCGGCGCGAAGGGTGCTGCTGAGCCGGTGCTGGTAGGGGCCAAGCCGCAGCGGGGCGCGTGCGAGGGTGAAGCGCTGGCTCCTGCCCTGTGAGGAGCCGCTGCCTGCCGGGGGTGGGACTGGGGCCCGCCCCCCTCATTGCCTTCCCCACCGTTGGCGGGGCGGGGCGGGGCTGGCCACCCGGAGCAGGGCGGGGGACGCGGGCACCTTGTGCGCCAAGCAGGCGGCGGCAGCGGCAGATTCCCGGTGCGTCCCGAGGCGCCGTCCAGCGTGCGGCTGTGCAGCGGCCGAGGTAAGCGGCAGCCCCGGAGCCAGTAGCCGGAGCATCAGCCGGCCCCGAGGCAGGGCAGCGCCCCCTCCAGCCGCCGGGTGCAGGGGCTGAGCCGCCGGAGGGCGCGGAGCTGCGGCTGCTTTCCGCCCGCCTGCTCTGTGGGCTCAGCGCCTTTGCCCCCGTGGGGTGGCCACTAACCCCTGCAGCGGGCTGCCGCGCGGTATCCGGGGCGCGGTGTGACCTTGAGGGCGGCAGATGCGGGGGTCTCCCCCTGCCTGGACTCCTGCGCGGGGCGGGCGTTGCTGCAGCTCGGACCTTCCTAGGGAGGAGACGGGGTAAGCGGCGCCGGCGCTGTGTGACATGTGTGCTGGGCTGGGTGATTGGGGGGCTGCAGCTGCCTCTTTCCCCCCCCCCCCCGGGCAGCACAGGCAGTGCCGAGCCCGGCTACCCCAGTGGGCGCAGAGGCGCTGTTCGCCGTGCGAGCTCCCTCCCTTCCCGGGTGCACACACCATAGGTGGTGCTTAGCCCCTGTTCCCTGCCGGGTTAAGTAGTTGGGATTAGTCGTCTGCTGCTGCACGGCATGATCATCCTCAGCCTGCCTCCTTGCCAGCCCTGCACGGGGCCAGCTAGCCTCCGCTGGCCTGGGGGCGGGGGAGACGGCGCTTGTAGCTGAGGGTCTCTCTGCCTTTTCAGTTGCACTAGCAGACTCCCCTCCCCCCGGCCTTCCGCCGCTTTGTCTTGTGGGCAGCTCCCCAGTCCGTGTTAGTTAAGAGCAGGCAAAGAGGCAGACAGAAATTCCCCCCTTTACCCCAGCTCACTTGCTGTTCTGATTTATTAATGGCTAGACAGACTGTGTGTGTATTGATTCTGGACTAGGATGAAGGCATCTCTGCAACGCCTCTGAAATAGAGGGAGGAGTTCTCCCGGAGGACCATTGAGGCGGCTTTCAGCAGATTGCGGGAGGGCGTTTGTGTGAGCAGGGTGATGTCCTTCTTGTCCCACTTAGTAGCAGGAAGTGTCTCTAACGGTGGCGCTTGTATGACAGTGTCATCCTCAGCCAAATGGTGTATGTAACCTTTGGATGTTACACCACGTGAGTTTATGAAGAGGCCTTAATACTGGGGGATGATTGCTGCCTGTCGCAGAAGGGAGTGCTGCTGCTCATTCTGGAGTGAGAGGGGATGGGGGGGCATTCAGAAGATGGTGACTGGGAGAATATCTCACCGATGTCAGAGCAATTTTATTTTCCCTGCTGATGTGAAAGTCTAGAAGTTGGAAGAACTTCTGATAGAATTTCAGGAAGAAGCTTGTTTGGAAACCTGGTTGATAAAGCTTATGCCCATGACCTTGGAGGCATTTCATTTATCATATTTCCCCCCCCCTTGTAATGTAAGTGATTCCTACCAAAATAACTAGCAGTGTCTGCCTTAATTTGTCCAAACTAGGACATTTAAGGCTAAGAAGTGTCCTGGATGTCTCAATTTGACTAGCTGTTAATGTAAGGGTCTCTGAATAGTGGCCAGTTTTAATATGATCTACATTGCCATTGTGGGGGTGAATTAAGGACAGCGTTCTGAACTCAGCATGAAACTTGTTACAGCATAATCCATTTCAATGTTTCTTCTTTCGTTTCATTTTTTGTAAACTTTAAATATAAGAAGGATGAAAGATATACAGTAACAATTGTTAGACTATTTTTATATTGACTTTAACCACCCCCCCAACAAAATAGAAGACAAAAGAAACAACCAAGTTGTTCTCTGAAACTGAGTTGTATGCTGCCTTCAGCATAAAACTTACTTCTGGATAATTTTTTCAAGAGCTACCTATCAAAACTCAAAAGCTTATTTTGTAAACAAAGCATTAAGTGGACTTGTGTTGTGTTAATTACATTTAAAGCTGCTGCACTTTAGCTTAGGGGAAGGGTCATTAGTATCTGGGCCCAAAACATGGTGGGGGTGGGGTTTTGGAAGACTCTTGAGTGGTCCCTCAGTAAAATTATAAAACATGTTCTGGGAATGAAGTTCAAATAAGATGTACCCTTGCAACATTAATATCTCATCATTTTTAACAAAATACTTGTACACTTGTGGGAAGGGGTACAGCAGTGTGCAAATCTCTGGAAAAAAACACAGCTATAAATGTTTACAGGTGCTTCTGCAATTGAGAGTTTAGAAAACTTTGTTAAATGACCTTGATAGTTTCGTTTGCCATTTTTTTCTGTTCCATTTAGAAAGCAGGCAGTAACTGTCTTACTATAGCTAGTGAAAAAATTGTTCAGAATTACTAGTTGGTTTTTTTTTTTTTTTTAAACTTTTCAGGAACTTGTCCAAATTTTGCATTTATGGTATTTGGAACAATGAGTAAACTTTTTGTATATCCTTAAGCCCATTGGTGTCTCTCTTGGCAGAAATGGCTTCCAGCATACTAAACTTAAATACTTATGGCATAATGAATGGAAACTTTTTTTAGTGCATAAGTGGAAGAAGTGGTCACTTAAGAGTAGAGCACAAAAATAGCTTTAACCCCTCCCCCCCATGCTTTAAAGTGTGAAATCGCAGGTTTGGAACCAACATTGTGGGGTGCTTATTTTCTTATCACTCCTGGTTTCCCTTTTCTGGTAGCAGGCTACTGTGATGGTAGTTGCGTTTTTTCATGTAGATAAGAATTCCGTTTGTGCTCAAGTAGTAGGGGATTAGTAGGTCCAAGCTACTGCTAATATGGGCAAAACCACTTTTTTTTTCTAGGCAGTATGCCAGTGTACCCCAATTCTTAACTGCAATCCCTTACTATATTAGTCAAATTCCTACTGAGCAGAGACTGTCAAATATGCTGCTTATGCTGTGGATAATCGAGACCACAAAATTAATCTTCACTTTTGATGCAAGTGAAATGAACTAACTATATTTTACAGGGACTTATGCTTTACCCAACTCTTGCTATTTTTCTGGGTATTATGACATTATTCTTCATCACTTACCTTAAAAACGTGCTTGGAAATTTAAAGCGGAATCTTGTCTAGTGTCACTATCTCAATTCATAAGCAATATAGGTAGAACCTTTCAGTCTGTCAGATGTTAAATTTTGAGGATTTCAGTTGCTGTATTACGGTTTAATAGTATTTTTGCTCAACTTCTGAAAAATGCTGTAAGACCTCTGCTAAGGTAAACTTGTAAATGCTTATGAAATCTTACATAATGAAACACAACTCTGAGCTGTCTACTTATTTGAACCATACAGAACATATATACAGTTTGGCTAGACATGAGGGGAGAAGATAAGCTGCAAGTACTCAAAGGATGGAAATGCCAAGGAAGGAGAAGAAATTGAGGTGGCTCTACATGATATGGTCTAGAGAACTGGGATAAAAATGAGTGAAGGAAAATCTTTAAAACTAACATGAAGACCACCACCTAGTTAAGGAACTATAGATGTGGGGAATAGTACACCTAGGAGATGTAGTAGAAATTGTGCTGCCTGAGTAACTGCAAAATGGACTGGGTAAAGCAGTTAAAACTGTGCCATAGGGAATAATTCTGTGTTCGCACATAGATGGACAAGATAACCTAGTCATTTCCAACTCAAATTTCTTTCATTAATATAGAGTAAATATTAATGGCACTCAAGTATTCTTTAGACAACTAAAATGTCACTGACCTCAGTGCAGTAGAACTTCAGATAGACATTTGGATGTGCAAATTTTTCATGGATATTAGTCTTTTAATAAAATCATTCAACATAAACAAGAGATACCTACATTGTTCAAAAATATACAATGTTATTACATTTTAACTACTAGTTTACTATGTTCTTAACCACTTTAATTTTGTAAATTTTCTAAATTAAATATAAAAAGAAATTCGTACTTAATCTTGTTGCATATACTTAATATTTCTAAATACTTTCTATAAGTGAATTAGAATGGTTTTAATAGTGTATACCCTGAAAAAAAATCTATCTTCATTGTTTAAAGGAGAAACAGCACAATACAATGAAGTGTAACGAGGGTGTTTGTTCTTAAACATATTCTGTTTTTGGCATCTGAAACTGGTTCCAGCTCAAAGTAAACTAATAGAGGAAGATAAGCAGACCGTTTGTCTCTAGGGTTTTAAATGTAAACTTTATATGATAAGAGAAAATACCATGAATCTGTCATGCGCTAACTGAAGAGATTGGTAACAAGTTTGCTCCCCAAAAGAGAACCAGTACAGTCTTGAATTAAAATCTAATAACAGCTAGGCTCTTTAGTAATCTTAAGAACTTGCTTTAATAATCCATCTGCATTTTTACAATTGATTTAATTAAACTGTTGTATTAATATTCCATAATCAAACATCTTTCTATCCTAATTTTTGTGGTTTTATCAACTAGATAACTGTATTTTGCTTATGAATTGAGACTAGCAGTTTCTAGTAACCTACTATGGTGGGCCCAAAACTCACTCGTCTTGAAATGAGTTCTAGAGAACTATAGTCCTTACACCTATTTACCATACTGAATAACTTCCCTCTTGAAGGTACCAATTTCTTTTTTGTGGCACAAAAATGATAAATGTTAAAATAGGGCAAAATATGTATTTCTAATCATTTTATCCATCTGGCTTTACAGTGAAATAAGTGCT